AGTGAGTCAAGAAAACATCCACCATTACACCACCACCACCAGCCTGCACATTGGTAACAAGGCATGATGGATCCATGTTCTCATTCTGTTTACGCCAAATTTCTGACAGTAGATTCTTTTTTAACCGAGGTGGGTAATACATTATACACAGTATCATAGAATTATGTCCAATTGCCATAAAACAGTTTGTGTTTCTCGCTTGTTCTCGCTTCTCATGAGACTTCCTTTTTCCAACTTACCGGGACGTTAGTCCCCATGTTGCAAGGTTGGTTTTCAGCCTGGAAACGCTGAGGGAGTGGGGAAAGTCATTTTTACCAGAACAGGTTATTGAACCATCCAAATGATTTCTAAACGGTTTAAGTTGAAAAAGTTGCCAAGTTCCACTTTAATTTTCTTTCATGAATGGGCGGTCCTCTACCTGCTAACTACATCTATGTAGTAACATCTCATTTATACCTTGCAAGTTCATAACAACTCACAGAAAGAAATAATGCATGTATGTAAAAGGATGCTAAGACTTAACTCATCTTATGGAAATTGGACACAGTAAAACTCCACCAAGCTGACAAATTTCTGCCGCCATAAACCAGCATCTGACGTTACCTATCTGCTGTTTATTTCCGTTGCTAAAATTTGTCCTTTCATGCAGACCTACAACATGCAGATAAGATGAAAAGATAACCAAATAAACCAGAGAGGGAAACATGAGTATGAAAAAGTCAAGCATGGTCCACATTTAGCGATCTGAACAATAGAGTATGGACGCATAATCACAATTAGATAATAAAACTATGATAATTCAGGAAGCAACATCTTTCGGAAAGTCTATTCAGAACTAGTTGGCTTAATTGATAACAGCTGTATGACACACAGGCTATCTAAATTGAGAGCACATGCAATTTCACAGAGATGGATATCAGGGCAATATGCAATTCGTATTTATTCATAGGAAACCCTACTATGGAAGTTAAACATGTGGTAGAAGATTCAACAGCATGTTGAAACAGTCAACTGTGTGAAAGTGAGCCACAAATTATTCACTGTAAATATCTCACAGTAGGGCTGGGCGATATGGCCAAATAATCATATCTCGATATTTTTTGGTCAAATGGCGATATACGATATATATCTCGGTACTTTCTACGTTTTCTATTTAGATAAAGAAATTATATTTTAATATATATATATATATATATATTCACATTCGGCCCAATGATATCCTACAAACAATGTTGATATTGAAGGATATGGAAACAAATATAATATAGGCTATGCAATATATTATGTGCAAAAAGCTTTTGTTTTTATATTGACTAAAAGCTAAACTAAAAATGAAAATAAAAACAAAAACAAAAGCACAAACTAATTATATTAGCCTGCATTTGATTACCCCATTATAATCACTTTCACTTTCATTAAAAATATATACTTGTAGGTTTAAAATTCCACATATGGCACATTTATTTTCTCCAACAACATATTAATTAAAACAATATTTTAGCAATATGTTTATTTTAGTCAGAATTATTGCGTACTACGTAGTACTATTCACGCGCATGCGCGCGCCGGCGCTCGTTCAAGGAAGCATGAATTTTAGCGGAGATTCACTTGCAGAAGCTCGTCCTCTTCTGACATGGACATATATGTTGTGAAATGGACATATTTGGTTTACTTTCTAACATTTACAGACGGAGAATATACCTGTGAAATGTAAGTTGAGCACTGAGGAAAGCACCACATCTCAAACGCATTAAACAGCGCAAGTATATCTGTCAGTCAGCAACAGTGTCTGTCAGAGCATTTGACAGGGCGGCAAGCTGCCTTAAACTTGTTAACTATATCAAAGTGATTTTGACGCAATTAATATAAGCTTGTTGTGTCATGTTTAGGACAAATTGTACTACGTAGCCTAGCTACTTTCACTGCAGCAGCTCACACTGCAACCTCCGCTATTTTTCAGATGTGCTCATATCAAACTACTGTATCGATATAAACGGTATTGCCTCATTCCATATCGTTTAAAAAAATATAACGATACATCGTACATACTCGATATATCGCCCAGCCCTATCTCACAGACACCTCCAGTACACCACAGCATCCGCATACAACATCAGTACAACAGTTAGACTGGGAACTCTGGAACCAAATGCTGCCAACAGTGGGACAGACATTCAGCACAGTGAGTGTCTAGCAGCATTGAGACGGTAGTTAAATCTTTCTACCGGTTTACTGTCTACCGGTACAAATCGCACACCCCTCCTACCTCTTAAACCTAAAAAGAGGTATAAATGTTGCTAACCTTTACTATTGCTCAGCGGAATTTAGCATCCAAATGCAATAGGAATCTGCATGTTCAGGAGTTTATCGTTTATTTAAATACACTTTTATTGAAGTTACAAAGGCTGCTCAGTCAAGAGTACTGAGTGATTTTCTCTTCATCTTTTGTTGTTTGATTGACTGTCACAGACGGCAACAGGTATTTAAGGCTGGTGTCACTTTAAGATCTACTGCACGGATCCAATATCCACTTACACTTTCTTTGTTATTCGTTCACATTTAGTTAAGACATAACTGATTGAAATATTGCTAATGTGAGCATACCTTAAGGCAGCACTGAGGTTGCAAGGAATACTGGAAAAGTGCGCAATATCAATTCCAGGATTGATCAAATTGTCCTGCTATTCGGTTTGATAGGCAAGCCAGAGTAAAGTGACGCATGAAAACAAAATTAAATAATGAAGGGTTCAAAAATATGTCAATGCACAATTTAATGAATCTATAATTTATTTTAATAATCGGTTATAGTAATTACAATCATATCCAATATGTTGCAGGGGCTGTCCTAGATTATATACATGCCTTCAAGAAAATGCCAAGAGATTCATAGTGAAGAACATTTGTGAAAGATTTAGACACAACTAAAAGTTAGCCTACTTGTACACTGATTGAATTAAAGGTCTTATCTGCCTGTACAAGATTTCAAGTATGCGTCAATTATTATTTTTCATGTTTCACTTTTATGATATGCAAATTTTCACCAGTACTGCCTATAAGGTATCAATCAATTCAGGACCAATATTTAGGTTCCAGTGGCTGAAGCCAAAATTTTGCTCTATCTCTAGTGCAGTGGCTCCCAACCTTTTTTTGAGACCCCCTTTTTCCCCAAGAAAATATTTTAGGGTCCCCCATCACATTTAATGATATTATCGCTCTTGTAAGCTTGCAGCAAGAATGATAAAATAGGTTGTTTTTTCAAACAAATGGTATGTTTATGCTAATATAATAGCCTATAATATTGAAAATATAATAACAAACATCAGCAGGCCCTTTGGAATTTAAAAACGCAAGACAATATGTATAAATATGTCATATGTCGTAAGCCCCCCCCCCCCCCCCCCCCCGTTGGGAACGGATGCTCTAGTACAGCCAATGCTAGGCAGCAATTGAGGTGGAGATCGGTTCTTCTGAATTGGACATGAAGTGCATGGATTTAAATGTAGGAGATATATGACAGTCTTCAGTAATACTAACTAACAATATGTGCTGAAAATGATCCTATAAAACTTGAATTGTCACTGACAGTCAGTTTAACTAAGAAGTATCAGGTTTTAGCTAGCCTCAGCAGTGCATGCTGATGGGGGCTTAGGAGAAACAGGAAGGGGAAGTGAATGCGTTAACAGGAAGAGCAGTGTCTGCATGGTACAGAGCATTAACTCATGTGTCAGAGTTAATCATTAAACACTTCACCCACAATACGAACACTTCGCCCCCTCAGCCACACTAAGTAAAGCTTCAGCGTGTAAAGAGACAAAAAAAAGCTTCATCTAAGATTGGAAAAATTGCTAAAAAAAAGAAAATTTGCCACCAAAGCGGCTTTTGAGGTCCCAAACCTCTAAATGTTTAGATTGACAATTGTATTCTAGTTTAAGGGAAATAAAATAGTGTGAAAAATATGAAATGACAGTTGGCTCGATGACTGGCCTTTGATATGAGAAGCCGCTGTACAACAGGAAGTGTGATTATAAGAATGATGGAAATTAAGTATGGACATAAATAAGATGTTTACAGTCAACTAAACAAGCTGCAGTTTCTGACGGAAAAATGTCTGGAACTTTTAAATAATATTATAGGGTTATTTTAGATCAAACTATAGGCCAAATATATGACATCACATTGGGTTCAATGGCTTAGCTGGGCTGGTAAACAATTTTCATGTATGAAAATCATACTGCATTTTCTGTTTGTATATGACATAAACTGGCATATATGGGCAGGAAGACTTTGTGCTATATGAATGAAATAACAGTCGTCAGTGCTTTTGGGCAACTTACAAACAAGACATTTGAGGATGAATTACAAATGATATGTGGGTTTAACGAAGGTTAGATCTGGAAACTAAAACCGAACTGTTAGTTGTAGGGTCTGGGCCTCAGTAAAGCTCTTCCTCTTGTGACTGTTCCTATTTGCATTACACATTCCTCATGTGTCCAACCACACACACACACACACACACACACACACACACGCATCAAGCGTTTCCAGGAGAAGCAGAAGAAGCACAGGCCTGATACGATCTCAGTCAACTGGCTGATCCGTGAGCGCTTGCTCATGCTCGACTTCATTTGCATCTTTGATATACGACTTGGGCTTCAGCTTAACTCAACGTAACCTCTACTCAAATTTTTCAAGAAACCAGTTTCACATGATTCAAGGACTGACAAACCATGTTTCACTGCTTCTGCTTTTTCCTCCCACACCAAACTAAGTTGCAGAGCATTCCAAAAAACATGAAGTAGCTCATGTCAACGTCTGCACAGAGGTGGCCTGAGATCTCTCATGTCTACTTTCACACCTAACCCTAAATGGAAACCTTTATTTGGTCACTACAGACCATATCAAACATCTTTTTGAACATTTGCAGCCTAAGAAACCACAATTTGGGTGACCTGAAATGCTAAAATTAAAGATGGCGTCTACAGAAACTCATCTGTGCTCACCTGGGCTGAGAGTTCTCCTCAAACATTCGCTCTTTGCCGTCTTTGAACAGGCTTATGGTCTGCTTGGTCTTCTTAGTCAAGTTCTCCATGAAAACACGAAAGTACTCGTTGTCTCCCAGCGTTTCCATCTTGCCTTCATAGCGGGACAGGATAGTGCGGAGATGCTGGTAGGTGTCTGGCAACAGGTCCAGGATGTACGGAGGACTGTTCTTCAAGGCCAGCTTGGGATTCTGGCATAACCGTACCACCTGCAGAGCAGAGAAAAATCAGACGATGTTAAATAAGGCATCTTTTCAAAACACTGAGAAGCAACCTGAGAATCAAATGAATATGGCGTGTTGCTCCAACCTGAAATGACTGCAGTTTTTTATTACATCAGTCCACGGGAATTCATTTAAAATACATAACGGCTACTCGAAATACAAGGAAAGAGGTGTAAAACAAAGACAAACTATACACTACTGTTAAAAAGCTAGGGGTGGGTAATATTCACTTTGTTGTATGTTCACTAAGGTGGCATTTTTTATAGTCAAAAATACAGTAAAAAAACCACACAAAAAAACACTGAAATATTATTCAAAATAACATTTTTCTATTTTAGTATATTTTAAAATGCAATTTATTCCTGTAATTTATCCCAGTGTCACATGATGTGTCACTTACAAATGGTTTCAAAGCAGCTTTACAGAAAAAAAAAAACATACATGTATAGATATGTTTTTGTATATTTGTCTGTTAACAAAGCAGCCAACAAGCTCCGTAAACATATTTTTATACAAATATTCGGTACAATTCTCTAATGGCACATTAAGTTGACTATTGATCAAGAAAACAGAACTGAAAACTAACCTTCTCTGTGGGACAAAGTGTGATACGTCACATGTGCAATAAAAATAAAAACTACACTGACAGAGCCTTTAAACCTGTTACCTGAACTGAAAATACCCACACAAAACTTGTCTGTCCACACAACAAGAGCATTCCAGAGAGAATCATTTTTGCGAACTAGCCAACATATTACAAGGACAATCGTGTTTGCACAGAAGACACGGCTCTGCAATCTACAGCACTACGCTCCCATCTCAATTTCTACAACATTTATAGCTTGTGACTGGGAATGACACAGTGTTGTTCACTTTGCAGCTACAGAAGTCTAATGCTTGAGATTAGGGTTGGGCGGAATGACCAAAATCATCCATCACAGCTTTTTATCAAGGTATTGTATATAATATTAGTTTCAAATGACAATCAATTACAACTAGAGATAGTCATTAGAGACAACCCGGAATTGTTGAAATCTCCCAAGAAAAAAAAACAAACAAAAAAAAACATCCATTACAGACAATAAATCATCATGATTAAGCGCATGCCCTCAAACCACTTCATTAGTCAAACAACTTAATGGACATACAGATAATCCAATAGCCTTTGCTTTAAACCAGACATAGTGGCTCTCCTCCGTCTGGACTAAAGCCACGCATCATCACCTTCTGAACTATTGATTAAGACGTGGGTGGGAAATTTGAGGAAACGGGAAACTGATCAAATGTCACCACTCCAGCAGTTGGAGAACCGCTGAGCTGCAAGCGCACGTTTTGGCAATAAGTGGCTGCTGCTGCATGCAGCTGCTCCGAGGGCTTGCAGCCTCTCTTATCTATTTTGTCTCCAGCACAGGACCAGCTGTGATTGGGGGGGGAGCTGATGACCTCACAGGAGGGGAGGGGGGTCACCATCCAGTCTGTCTTGAGCTCCAAAACTTCTGGCTCTCATGCACCCCCAGTCCTGACAGCCAAGAGATAAGACTGGGGCGACAGGACGTAATGAGAATTATCAGCAAACATGCATACTTCTGTGTTCACATGCAGACGTGGTTTCATTATGGCTTCCAGTGATAATCTGAATTAAGAAAAATTGTTCAAAAGGCCAGGGAAACATCTGCTTGGTCTCAAGCATGAAAAAAAAAAGTCACCAGGAAGTCAATTAAAATAGAAATCATTAAATATGCACCATACTGATGCAATCAAAAGTTCTATTTATGCTGTTAAATTTGTATTCACCGTATCATACAATGCAAATCCTACCATCAACATCTACAAATAAAATTTTCTTAATTGGCCTGTGGTTTCATAATCTAAACCTTACGAGAAAATCAAAATGTAGATAATTTGTGTTTGTTAACAAGGTGAATATGGGGAAACACAGAACTTAATTTGTGTTTATTCTTATTTGAAAGTATTTTCATATTAAAGGTCAAACCGGGAAAAACAACCATTGGGTTCTTGTGGAGTTTGTAGGAGTTTAAATATTTACAGGGGATTGAGAGAATAATATAACTAAACATATAAGGTATAACATGATTTTTTTTTTTTTAATTTGGGTAATAGTCAGGGTAGACTTAAGAAATGTTTTAGAAACATTTCTTTCAGAGAGGTCTGTTTTGCAAGCTGAACTTCTCCTGACAAAGTATACTGAATCACTGATCCTGACATACTAAACATACATTAAGAGTTTCATAATCTAAGACTCGCCACAAGTTAACAAAGTGGAAATTTACAATGTCAAAATTGCAAAAACGAGAAGATTTGCTTATGAAGAAAATGTGATATGTCACATGTGCACTAACCAAACTACCCAGTGTGAAACTGAGCAAATAGGAAGTTGCAAAGTTCTCCGTCATAAAGCATTAACCGTTTCTCTTCTCAGTGACAATTTAATAGTTTTCCTTTGTAACATACATATCATACAATTAAATGTCATACTCTAACATGCAAGTAAATGGCCTCTTTCGAATTGAAGTGGTTTCCCATTTTAACAGGATAAGTTAAAAACGAGCCCCCCGTGAAAGATGCAACGCTTCGCTCATGTATCAGTGTGAACATCACAGGAAGTGTGAGGTCAGTAACCACAACTTTTTTCCATGAACTGCAGCTTTAACTTTTCTATTGTGAGGAAGCAAATTCAACAAAAGAAACCACTCTGGTAGACAGATGTTCGTCTAACCGTTTTAAAAATGTGTTTTTCTTTTAACTATTTTACTAGACAATTTTTTTTTCAGATGCTTAAATTCTTAGTACAATACCCCTGTAAAGCTTGACATATTAAATTGGACCTTTAAACAAGATACGTTTTGTTTTGCATCATATTTGATACATCAGGCTCTTTAAACATGATTTATAAATGATACTAAAAGGTCTTGCAAACAAAACAAAAACGTGTGAACAATCATTCAGGGGCAGCAGATCATGCACAAACTAGTTTTGATTATCTTGATATTTTAGAGGCCTTAGAAACAGATATAATACAATAGGTTTTATAGGCTTAATCAGGTATTAGATGTGTCTGATCATAAGACAAACCATGCTTGAATAGATCTAACTTAAACAAAAACAACCAGCTTTAAATACAGCTGGATACTTGGATGTCTATTTGACTATATGAATTAAGGTATAATGTTTCAGAATAGAAAATAATAGTCTACATTTCACTTAAAACCAATTGCAAGTACTTAATGAAATAAGCAAAAGTTGATGTGACGCTTCCTGTTTATCCAAAAGATTACATAGAAACAGGAACAAGAGAAGCAAGTAGTGTTTGAGAGGACAGATCAACTGTCTAATACCCACGTCTAGACTAAAAGTTAAGACAATTTAACCAACATAATGACCAGCAACAGGACTAGGAACGTCAGATATCGGTTGCAAAAACAAACTTTGTGTTTTTCACACAGTTCACATCCAGGAGTCGTCACATTTGTCCATATAGGTCAAAACAAATCCAACTCTTCTCACAATATAAACAATATTGTGGACCAATTAAGAAATACCACAAGCTATTAAGCTAGGACAACTAACGTTAACGTTAACGTCAACTTAGCACTGGACCCTGCACCGTATTCAGAAGTCCTGCTAGGCAAGCTGGGGTGCCGAAAAATGACCTACTGTCTAAAGCTTGATATTCCCAAAGTATTTGACTGGCTGAATATAGTTTATTGGCCACCAAACCATTCAGCTAATTGCCTTAGCAGAGCAGCCCTGCCATATTGCATTAGGACTCCTCGGTGCAGGCCATCCGGCTAAGCTAACAAGGGACCGAGGCGGCTAGCTAACTTACAACGTCTCTCTCTGGTATCTATCTTTTGTGTTTTTGCTTGATAGTCACCCACCTTATCCATGAATTTCCAGCATTTCTCCACTGTCTTTTTGTCCACGGCCCCGGGCTGGTGATGGGAGTGGTGGAGGTGATGGTGAGGCTGAAAAGCGTCCTTCATCATGCCAATAAGCCCCCCACCTTTCTTCAGATTTCCTGCCATATTCGGAATTCGGAGTGTTGGTTTCGCAGTCAAAATATAACTGGGATCGGATACCCCCCGGTGAGGACAGCGCCCGAGTCCGGTTCGGTTCGAGCGAAGGTCCGTCAAGCGGGGGGGTGGAGAAGCGCTTTATCGATGAAAGACTCCCATTAAATCCCCCTTGCAGGAAACCACCGTTTCACGCTGTATTTAAAACGCTCGGCTAGTGCGGCAAATCACGTCAAAAATAACGCGTAAAAATAAGTGTTGATGGATGTCTGGACGTTGAGGAACAACTGCTTTCACAACGACACCCCGTGCGTGCGTGATGTTCCCCTTTCCTGCAGCTCTCTCTCTCTCTTTCTCGCTGTGCGCTTCTGCAGAGCGATGTCCGATTCGTGAATGTGATCGAACCGTTCGTTTGAGTCGGATCTTTTCAATCTGTTAAATCGGTTCACAAAACTGGTCTGATTGAACCAGTCTAGACAAAACAAATTGGTTTTATGGACAACCAGCATTATATTTAGGTTCTAAATGACTATGTTTCTGTGAGCGGTATAATGTCTATGAAAAAAACATGAACATGACACGTGAATAAAGAGGCCTAATAAACACCGTCAGGATATAAATGCATTAAACACAAACAAACGGAATGTTTTTTTCCCCTTTTTTTATTGCCAGTCAAATTACAATCAATAAACTTAAGAATTACTTGCATATTAAAACACGTTTTCACAGAATTAAAGGTTAACAGATTAACGTCTAATGGACTGCCTTTTTCTTCTTTATTGCCAGTCAAATTATAATCAATAAACTTAACAATTTAAAACACTTTTTAACAGATATACATCACGCAAAAGTTTTTTTCTGATCTTTTTCAAGCAAGTAATATTCGACACGGGGTGTGAGGGACCATGTGATGACGTGACAGTCAGAGAAGTGACGTGCAAATAGTGGAATCGGTTCTTTGAAGGGACGTGTTCGAAAGAACCGATCGCTGGAATGAATCGTACTTCCTATCACTTCTTTTGCAACGGGAAGTTCAGGCTAAGCAAGACAAGAGCCCTTGCGAGCAAAACCTATAAAGCGGAGGGGGTCACGTATATAATAAACAAAGAACATATTGTCTTTATTCATATAGAAATTCAATACCGGATTGCGTAAAAATATCCTATTGAAATAAAACCATATTAAGGAAATAAAACACCACCTTCTACCTCCCCCTCCCGTACTTGCTCTTCCTGTTCCGCCTTGTGAGACCTCGCCCTCTTTCCCCGCCTCCCTCCTTGCTCTTCAAGTGAACATACTAATCCTACTATGGTGAAAAGCATGACTTATAAATATTAATTAAGGCACTTAACTGGAGCACTAGGAACGTTACCAAGCAACGTAAATGTCACGTGTCACGTGCTAGTTAATATTCATGAGCAAAGCATTGGAATAAGAAGTGTTTGTATTGTAGGCTACTTTCACCGCTCTCCAGGTTAAATAGATTAATTATGCAGTATTTTTTAGGTGAACTACTTTGTTTTAGTAAGTTCACCGCTGTATGTTGTTCGTTGAACTTCTCTCATCATTTCAGTTCACATTGACTTTATATTACAACCTTTAATTGAATGAAAAGTTGTGATAGAGCTCCGCGTCCTAGGCTATTTCAAACGAATTAAGAAGATTATCTTTAAATAATCTAAACAATTCAGAAATACCTCAAACTACGTTGTTGTCCATAAAACAACACGAGCGCTTGGCAACTTTGTACACAGCTCCAGGCAACCAGCCGGCGACGCGATGCAATGCGGTTACGTAGAACAACTGTAATTGGCACTCTGGAGAGGTGATTGGCTTACGTCTCTCTCTGGCCACGCCCACGCTACTAGGCGGCTCTGTATACACAATAAAGACACAATAACACTTTTCCTTCTTATCTGCTCGATAGATGCGGACCTAGCATCTCTGTACACTATGCCACCCAAGAAGAAAGGAAAAGGAAACAGCAAAAAGGACAAGTCCAAAAAGAGCACACCAGAAAAAGGTTTTTTTTTTTTTTTGTTGTTGCTTTTATAAACACAAAATAATATAATTCTTACAATAAAGATGTAAGTGGTATTTAATTATCATTGAATATTTACCTTTTTTTCTCAGATGATGGACTTTCAGAGAAGTACCAGAGGAGTGCCTTAGACGTAGCTGTTTTAAAAGAGCATCTGGGTAAGGCAAATAGCTATTGTCTTTTTTTTTTTTAATGTACTGTTCTCAGATTTTTTCCTCTGTTGGCTTATGTTCAATTAAAATAAAACATTAATAAAGTAACGTCTCTACAACCCTTGTCAGCACTGAGGAGCAGTGTAGCACGTCAGGCTACAGTTGTGAGAGATGACTTGAAATGTCAAATCAGAGATCTGGAGCAGTTGCTCAGTCAGGAACGATTAGACATGAAGGACATCATTGCAGGTCTGTATACAATTATATTGCTTTTATTGCAGGTTTATTGATAGAGTACAGTGTACACCTTCAAGCTTCATAATATAGGGGCGGTTTCCCAGAAAAGGTAAACTAAGACAGGAGTAAACCTTAATCTAGAATAGTTAATCGTGGTTTAAAAATGGCTTTCTAAAACACAGATTAAGCACAGATTACTAACACTGGACTACGAATTCCTGAACTAAACTAAACAAGATTAATTTAAAACCAACTGATTAATTTAAAACCAAAATAAATAAATAAAACACATCAGCTGTGGAATCTAGGAAAAGGAATGGAATGCTTGGAAATCTATTTGTAATTAATTAAATGTAAATAAACACACACCTACAAGAACAATACAACAACTTCAGGTAAGATTGAATCATCAGCTTTATTATATTACTGTTTTGTGAAATCTGTGGGTTGATAAAATAAATTGAGAAAAAAAAAAAACACTTCAGTTACGTAAACTTAGTTGCCTGATAGGGAATAAGACGCTGCGTCAAACGCTGTGGGAACGCCCCTGTGTGAGTGCGTCCTAAAGCAGGTATGGAATCGACCAGGAAAATATAAACTATAAAGCAGCCCAGAATCACAACCGCGTCAGATTCTGATAGCCTGAAGCAAGTCGATCACAGGCATGCCGGGAGTATGACAGGGAGATGCAGCGTCTCGTTTCCCATCAGGGAACTAGGGTTACATACGTAACCGAGACGTTCCCTTTCAAGGGAACTCGAGCTGCGTCAAACACTGTTGGAGCGCTAATACCCACGTCGCCATAAGAGCAAGTGTCCGTAGTGTGAATAATGTGTGATTTTCGAGGGCTTGGAGCCAGAAGGGCGTAAGTGGCTTTTAACAAACTTTACAGGAAAGACAAAACAAAATTTTTACCATGCTTCAATCACCTGTATTATTAACCTTAAACCACAAACATTGCAACTACAGGCATACTTACATGAAATGAGTATTTAAGTAAAAAATGTATTGGCATATTAACACAATGAACATGTTCCAAAACATTTTCAAAAAAACAAAAAGTCAAATACGTCAAATACGCCTTTTTGTTGCTTTATTCAATACAGTTTGATCTCTGACAGGTATTTTGGCACCATTGGATAGAGCTCATCGAGACCTTTATTTTGATATAAAGAACTCAAATTCACCAAAAATGCCACTTACGCCCCTCTGGCTCCAAGCCCTCGTTATATTGTCATTGATTTCTAACACAATATGTATTGTATTTACCTTTGAGAACAGATCTCAACCGTCAATATAGGTCTATGGAAACAGACCTGCAGACTAAAGTGAACAGGCTTGAAGTGAGTGTGGACTTGCTTCAGGCACAGTTCGGTGAGTTCAGCATATTCAAATTCTTGTGCTTATCAAAGGCAGTGCGCTTTAACCAAACACATGCTGATGACAGGCCTCTGTTTGATTAGCCGAGTGTCAGGTTAAATTAAAATCGGAAAGAGAGCGGCGAGAGAAGACTGAAGCAGAAAAAGACGCCATCATTTCTGACCTCCAGAACAAACTGGACCGCATGGAGAGTGAGTGTGAGAAGATACTGCACGTAAGTCAGAGGTGAAATATCAGCGCTTGAAAGGATGACATATTTTATTAGTGCTCAAAAAGCTTAAAATTGCTTGGTGGCATTTTAAAGTGTGACTGAATAATCTATTTGACTAAATGAGGTATAATTAATGCTATAGTAAAACAAATTGGACGGATGGTTAATTAAAGTGTTACCAAATCTGATTGCCATCCAAAAGGTTATCGATTTCAGCATTTAGTATTTTAGAATAGTAGAGACCATCTGCACCTCTAAATGCTTGTGCCAGATGGCGAGACATGCCCCATTTAATAAGTTACTTTTTTATTTTATTTTAAATTGAGTTGGGTTTTTTTATGAATTGTCTATTGGCTTGGTACAGGGCTGTCTGGACAGTTTGCTCTCTCACCTGGCTGAGACGCGGCTGCAGTGGGAAGAACAGAGCACAGTCCTTCATCAGGAAGTCAAGGACATGCTCAGTGACTTTGGGATAAACCCACTTCACATATGAGGACATCTTTAATTGAGCACTGTGAACAGAACAAGACCATGACCTCTGACATCTAAGAAATGACATGTATAATGCATTAGCCAGGGCTTTTCATACTGGGCTCCAGGGATTGAGAGATGTGTGTGTGTGTGTGTGTGTACACATACACACACACACACACACACACACACACACACACACACACACACACACACACACACACACACACACACACACACACACACACACACACACACACACACACACACATACACACACATTTTCAAGAATACTTTTATTCATCACAGATGCACTAAATTGATCAAAAGTGACAGTAAAGTAAAGTTTAAATAAAAATATTTCTATTTAAAATAAAATAAATAATAAATAAATAAATAATTATTTTATATATATTACCGTTTCATTCAATACTTTTCACATTTTAAATTCTGAAATATAATTATCAATTTTAACATACCAGGTATTCATGTAATTTGAGAAAGCAGTATGTACATTGTGTTTAGGGTCTTCATCATGAAACAAGCAGAATGAATTTCTATGCAAGCAATTCATCCATCTATTTGCATGTATATTGTCCCACTGAATTGAATGGGACAATTTATGCAGAAAAATAAAATGGTTTTATGTAAAATGTCTGCATTTGATCTGAATTGTTTCAATAGTATCCAGTGGACAGTGCAGTTAATTTTGTCACCAGCAAGTGTCTCTGTTGGCCTAATTTTCTGTCGCTCTTCCAATGGCAATGTCCTTCATCGTTTACATGTTTAAATTTAAATTGATTAAAATAAAATAATGAAATAAACCTTTTCTGATTTAATTTTCTCCCTATAGAATGTATAAGATGTGTTTA